CGCGATCGCTAAGGCAAGTCTTAAAATTTCTACGAGTCCATAACTCTCGAAATTTAGGAGGACGAAGAGACTAATTCGAGAAGCTTCTCACCTTCCAAGTTCCACAATAAACACTGTCGTCCGCCATCTTGCTACCTTTAAAAAAAATAAAACAAAAAACTAATGCTTCTGCGCTTGCGCCGCCGCCATTTTGTATTTGTTGCATCTCCGTCGGTAGTAATCGTTTATGTAACATTACGTATATTTCGCGTCTTACGTAAAATTACTTTAAAAATCTATTATTATTTCCAAGCCATTAGAAAGTTCTATTTAATAACAATTAATTATTGCTTCCGAGTAGGGAATTTCTCTCCCTACTCGACGAAAGTGTCGTAAATTTTGAGTGTTTTTAATTGTTTTATTTTAATAATTTTCATCAATATGTTGAATGGTAACGTTTAATTTATGGGAGCGTCCGTTCTATTACTCGTTACAATTGTAAAAATTTCTTTTAGAAATACTTCCGGAAAGAAAGACCCACGCGTAACTACGACTCGAAACTGGCGCTGTTCGCCGTAGCGGCATAATTTAAAACTAAAATTTACCAGGGTTCTAGACCCATGGTTTTCAATTCGTGGTCCGCGAAACACGGGTGCTCCGTTAAGCCACTTCAAGTGTTCGCGAAAAAATAAAAATATACAATTAAAAATTGTTGCAAAGAAAAAATCAATAGATTATATAATAATTTTTGTACGGGAATGTAATCTGCAAATGCCAATAATGTCATATACTAGACCGAGTGCGCTCTTGATTTAAAAAAAGCTAGTCTTTTCGTCATCAATAGAAACATTTCTGTGAAATGTCTTTTATTCTGGAAAAATCGTGTAGTTACTTTTATAAGTGGGAATAATTTAAATATTTAAAAGTTATTCCAATTCTTTCTACCGTAATCCGATATTGAATATGTTCTTTCTTGTTAGTTGACTGATGAAGGGCTAAGTGCTCGGAACGTGTAGAAGTACCCGTATCAACTGAATAAAGATGGAAAAAAGCCAAGTGTTTAATTAATTAATAACGCAATCTTGTGTTTAACAGTCAATAAAAGATTAAATAAAGGGCCTTTACTAAACATAAATCTGTTAAGTTGTTAATGCATAATTTGTAAAGTTTATGTATCTTTGTGGTGACAAAGTTTATTGTTTGAGATTTAAAAATAGTCTCGAGTTATGATATTGTTAATATAAATATTCTCGAATTAAAAAAAAAAAAATTAGTTCTCGGCTTATTGAAATCCAATATCAAATTAGTGGACTGATGGCCGAGCGGTCAGAGTAGCAGCCTACCGCTGAAAGAGACCAGAGATCGAATCCGAACGGGTCAAATGATCCCCGTGGTCCGTTCGAATATGTCGGGCCCGTCCCTCACCATCCGGCCGCCCCGTTGTTGGCCTGGCCGAACCCATAATGGGCTTGCAAAAAGTCCCTCTTAGTGCCCACAGGGCGGAAAGAGATAACTTGTTTTCTGCTAGGTAGATTTCCTGGTGTGTACCGTAAACGTTTCTTTTGTTTTTTACTAAAGGAAATGTGTGTACTGTTTGAGTAAAATATTGGGAGTCGTTGAATGTGGCTCGTTGGTCTAGAGCAGGGGTCGGCAACCTGCGGCTCGCGAGCCACATGCGGCTCTTTGGATGTGAAGCTGCGGCTCTTTAGTTCCATACGCAAATATTTATTTTATCAAAAGAAAAAAAAAACATTTAAAAATCGTTCTGAATCGATTAACGAGGATTAGGCACCGATTCTATCTCTCGGCCACTGTACTCGCTTTTCACCGCACCCCTCCCCCGTGACACGCGTCGTCACTGTCGTCAGTCCGTCGGAAGCTCTCGAATGACGCCGTCGTCGGATGTTTGTATTATCTAATTTGTTATGAAAAACACTACTTATATATGAATAAATAGATAAATTTTTTTATAAAGAAACTTTATTTATGCGAGTACTATATATTGTTGGCAAGAAAAAAATTTGTGGCTCTTTAAAAACTTTGAAATTTTGTAAATTGTAATTTTGGCTCTTCCGACTCAAAAGGTCGCCGACCCCTGGTCTAGAGTTATGATTTTCGCTTAGGGTACGAGAGGTCCTGGGTTCAATTCTCGGACGAGCCCTTAGTTTTTTTTGATATCTGCAATGCTGAAGAGTTTATGGGCAGATGAATCCAATATTAAGAAAAAAGAAAAAAGGACAAAGTAGCAAAAGTGATTAATAGGAAGAAAAGATAGTCAACATGTAGTATGGAGTCAACTTCGGTAGGGAAGAAACGTCAAAAAAAAGAAAAATGATCAATAATGTAAGTAATAATTATGGTAATTTATTAGAATAGGTTAAGTTAGAACGTGCGTCTTCACTGTTTGCTTTATTAGTTAATACGCAGTCTCAAATCGCGTTCAAAATAGCGCCATTTTGGCACCATAAGTAAATTTAACCCGGTTTCAAATCTAGTGAAAATTCAAAGAAGAAACAGCAAAATTTGATAAATTCCAAAAGACTATAAATTTATTCTCATATTTACATATTATTTTATTGTACAAAAACGCGTGGGAAGAAATTTTGTGTGTAATTTTAGACATTTAATTCGGCTTGGGCATCTAACAGTCGTTGAAATGGTTTCAAAGCAGGCTTCACTTCCTCTTCCAAGAACTCTTTAACCTAAAAATTTATTTAAAATTTTACTTCAAAACGGTGCGAATTAAATTATATATATTTTTGAAATTACTTGATTTGTAGCTCTTCCGATGAACGTTTTTGGGTCGAGAAGGTTTTTCAGGTCATTATGAAATCGGTGCATTATGAAGTTTTATAAATTGCAAGTATATTAATAGCAACTGGCGTATTTTAAAATTTACTTCATTAAATTTAAACTTTAAATGATAACCCATCGTGTCAATTCTATAACAAATTTTAATTAGAAAACTTTCCATAGTGACCAGGCGACGTAAGGGGCGTAGCCACGGTGGGACAGGATGGAGCGCTTGCCCCACCCTGGCTCATTTAGTCAAACGGAAAATTATAGGTCAATAGGTTATAGTAGTATTGCGCTGCAAGAAAGCGTGCTTGAATCGTATCGGGAAGAGTTGGTCGGTGACAGGAGCGCTCTCTGGTGAACGAGTGGGGAACTGTCGATAGAAGGTCTGGATGGTCTGTGATAAGATTCGAAGATTATAGAATGTTCGAGGTTCGGATTTAATGGGGAAGTTCTAGCCCTTTCTGTTCCCCATTTAAGCGCTGCAATCAGTGAGAGTGAGTTGATGCATTTGAGCTTGTTCAGAACATACCGCGAGCGACGTTTATTTGAAACGTCGTTGCATCCATGTGCAATACTGGATTTCTTACGTCATTTTAAATTAATAAGTGCTGTATTTACTTCTGTTGTAAGCTGAACTTTGGTACAATCGATGGAAAGGAAAAAAATGTGCTCAATGCCGAACTGAAGGAGATAGAACTAGCTGCACTAGTTAAAGAAGCGCAATTGTTTTATCCATCCATAAGATGGGCGCTACTTATCTTACTTGCACAGTCCTACACAATGTGCACTATCGAAAGATACGCAGCACCTAACGCAGGGTAAAAACTTGCATACGGTCAACAATGACAGAAAATCATCTTGTTGGTCTTTGTACGATAGGTGTGCATAAAAAAAGGGTTATGGAAGCTAAAAATAAATTTGAGAAAGAAATTTTGACAAGATTTATCTAGAACTCCCGTAGGCTAGTGCTGAAATAAAATTTTATTAGCATTGCAACTAATTTTAGCGTTTTCAAATGTTCAAATAAAACCATTTTTTAATAAACAACGTTATCTTATTTGCCCCCTGGAGAAAATCCTGACTACGCCCTCGGGTGACATTTTATATCCAATCGGAAGTAACAATCTAACTAGTCCGTTATTTAGAAACTGTTATCGCTCATGCAATTAAAGTACGTACAGTTCATCTTTGTTTTATCAACATAAAATAAAAGAGATGCCTATTTTCTCGAAAAAAATGCCCAGGGGAAAGTGGAAGAGTGAAATTTTTTTTATTATTAATTTATTCATAACGCAAATTTAAATAAAAGTATTCTTCTTAACCAAATATCTTACTCGGCTCTTTAAATATTTAATAAAGCCTCCAACACCTGATGCCGAGAAACGTTTTATTAAAGTTTAACGTTTTCGACCCAGATGCAACGAATTTCTAGCGTCTTAAGATTTGTTGTAATTTGTCTTTTCATGATGACTAGGTGTTTTCTTTTGTCAGCTTGTGTTAGGACCAAGTCATTGTTATTTACCATTGTTTTGCGTGCTTCAGCTGTTTCATTTCAATGCTTTTTGTTCTAAGTTGCTTTTTGTTGTCTTTGTTGATTTATAAATCTAAGACCTTGCCTTGCCCACATCAAATTTACGTCTTGCCCCGCCGCTGATCTGATTCCTTCTTAATCGTCGCTTGTCTGAATGTGAATATCTCGTTCGAAAGACTCTTGTTTTTATAGGTAGCGTGCAAAATTTCAGGTTTTTCTATAAAGGGGTTGCCGAAATATAAGCAGTTGAAAAGTGCAAAGATCTCCATAAAAGCTGTATCTTTCTTATTCATTTGGCGGTGCAGATGCTCCTAGAGAAAGAACAGCACTGGGTCTAGAGAGCTCAAATTTTAAATTTACGCCACTCTCGTTATCAGTGAGGTGATGGCAAAACTATCTACCCGCAAAACTGCGGGTAGATAGGTAAAACTTGGCGGGGTCCGATCTCTTGCTTTTATTGCTTCTTAAAATAAAATTGCAACCGAACGAATGATTTTCATTCGAAATGTTTTTCAGAATAAGTTATCAAAAGCTCAAATTTATGCAAATTAATATTTGAATTTTTTTGATTCATTATGAATCGTGTGCATTTTTTCTGTTTTCGTCATCCGTCATAACTGTTAGAAACATTCTTATTAATTATAAATTAATCTAAAATTGCGTAACTTCAATAAATATCGAATCTTTAAACTGTTAGTATTGAATTCAATAAGTTTTATTAAGTACAAGAATTTATATACAATGGTGAAAATTCCATGTACAATTTTAACTGTTGAAGTAATTTATAGTTTTGCTTTAGACATATATTCACTGCAATGTTAAAGTTCAACGTGGAAAATGGTTCCTCCCATTGTTCTGTGTTGAAATGTTTTACTAGTAGAACACCGCTAGAAATATTATAATTTGTTTTGGCCAGTTATAGTCGTTTAAACACCGCTTGTGTAGCTTTGCCACAGTAGATGTTCTATGCACTTTGGCCGAAGTGGAAGAACGAATCTCGAATGTTGTCCAAGTATCCGTCCGTAAATTATGATGGAAAGTCAAGTCCGGTTGATTAAGTCGTAGCCGGGTGAAAAGTCAATTCCGGGTAAAAGTGTCATAGTCGGGAAAAGGTCACTTCCGGGTGGCTGTGTCACATTCGGTGGAAAGTGCAAAAAGGCTCGGCAGAAAGAGTGTTACTTTTAGCAGCAGAAAAAGAACCTTTTCCACCAAGGCCTTTTGCGCTTGACCAAGGCTTCTTCGGACTCCTTTGGGTCCTGTGCCGTCTCCACCGTCCATCCCTCAACTTCTGGATATCGCCTCTCCAGATAATGGACGAGAGACGAGGCGCTGTCGTCCGGGGTCACGACGACCACCCGTTTGACGTCGGGTGTATGCGCCTCGTCCTCCGCATCCTTCGGACGCACTCGTATTAGACCATGCCAAGACGAGGCGTCATCGTCGGGCTCAGATCGGTCCTGGCCCGAAACGTTCCACTTCTTTAGTTCTTTGAAGTTCTCCATTCTGCAAAGAAAAAACAGAACTTGCATTAATTAAGAAATATTCCTATTGTCTTAATTTCATCTATTGATAAATTGTAAGTAAGAAATATATAGATATTTCATGTTCAAATGCAGTGAAGATTTATGATAGAAGATTGTAGAAAATGGTCGTTTTAATTCAAATAAAAGTTTCAAAGTCACAAATCAATATTATGATAAAATCTTTAATTATTAAGTATAGTAATTTTAATCTCTGCAACGGTTTTTAATGTTCGATATATAATTTAAAAAAATCGAATTACATAACACAAAGTATTTGTGAAAATGAAAAAATTCTAATTAATTAAAGCGGCGCTAATTGCATATGGGATATTAACCATAGCGGGGAATAACAATTTATTGTATTTATTAATTCCCATTCTGCTTTAGCAATTACAAATCTTTAACAATTCGATTGGAAAATTAACAATAAAAAGGGTGAAAAGTATCTCCTAAAATGAGCGGGAAGACCCCATTCGTCTCTGTGACCAAAACCATCAATTGTTATGTAAATGGAGCTTTGTGGAAAAATCATTGCCGCTAATTGCGACATTCGGCTTAACAATGTTCAAAAATACCTAGATTTAGAAAGTTCGTTGTCTGAACTTACCGATAAAATGGCTGCAATTGATGCAAAACTCAGAAAACGCTTCGAATAAATCACTTTTAAACGCACGAACAGAAAAATCAAACCGCTCGCAATAACAATAATCGACCGCTCGCAACAAATTGTCGCAGTTTTATTGTTGAATCGCCACGAAATTTAATGTAAAACGTTTGGATTTTTCACCGAATTTCGTGACTTTTGCGCCTCCCTGTCGCGGAAGAGAGATTTTCGCAAATCATACCTTGCATATACATTCGCCTTGACAGTAATATCAATTGACAAATCTAATATTCTCGTGTCTGCGAATAAAAGTTTCCATTTTATCACGATCCTCCGAACCGAAAAAAGAATAGACTCGAAATACAGTAACCCCACTATTTTAACTACCAATCCATTAATAAAATTGAACTTTTGTTAAATTAAAGTGTCCAAAATTTTACAGATAAGAGCTTACACGTGACAAGGACTATACGTTCTGAAATATAGGGAAGATAATGAGATCTATCGAGTGACTAAACACTTCTCTTCAGATGGATTTATTCGTCCATTTAAAACGAATTAGAAACTTCATTCTAGTCGNAGTGTCCAAAATTTTACAGATAAGAGCTTACACGTGACAAGGACTATACGTTCTGAAATATAGGGAAGATAATGAGATCTATCGAGTGACTAAACACTTCTCTTCAAACGGATTTATTCGTCCATTTAAAACGAATTAGAAACTTCATTCTAGTGGTGTTAATTAAGCCATGTATTAGGAATCCGAACTATAGGAACCCGCGTTATAGAAGGGTCGACTGTAAAGATATCTGTAATCGGGAAACGGCTTTCTCACCAGACGATCTGTAGAAATCTAGCTACACCAAGCTGATTCCCCAAGCTGAACAAACTGGAGCCGCTCAATTCAGACAGTCCGCGTNTTACCAGTGTCGGCCCGAGGCAAGTTTCAGGATGGAGCGAGATCCTATTATGGCGCCCCCCCTTGGTTGCCCCTAATTTATACCCTTTAATTTTCTTTACCACTGAGGCGCCCCCTAAGACTTAGCGCCTGGAACGGCTGCTCCGTTCGCCCTATGGTAGGGCCGGCTCTGCTGTTTACATAATTAAGTTTAAGAAAAAAAAATCACAGCTATCGATTTACTTAGACCGATTATATTTAAATTATAACGCCGGAATGTTTAAACAAATAAAAAAACTGAAATCGACACGAAATAAAAATTAGCAAACGTAAAACGTAAACAAACTTTATTTCAATAATATCCATCGATATCGATTTCGATTGACGTGTACAAAGAGCATAAAGAACCGTCGTAAATGCTTTCGTAGCTTTAAAATTTCAAATTTTAAAGATACACTTTTAAAGGTTAACGCCGAAAATGCCCGACGTAAAAAATAAAAAAAAATAAAAATAAAAAATTCGTTCGTAAATTGTACCATCGACATCTCGCGATCGCTAAGGCAAGTCTTAAAATTTCTACGAGTCCATAACTCTCGAAATTTAGGAGGACGAAGAGACTAATTCGAGAAGCTTCTCACCTTCCAAGTTCCACAATAAACACTGTCGTCCGCCATCTTGCTACCTTTAAAAAAAATAAAACAAAAAACTAATGCTTCTGCGCTTGCGCCGCCGCCATTTTGTATTTGTTGCATCTCCGTCGGTAGTAATCGTTTATGTAACATTACGTATATTTCGCGTCTTACGTAAAATTACTTTAAAAATCTATTATTATTTCCAAGCCATTAGAAAGTTCTATTTAATAACAATTAATTATTGCTTCCGAGTAGGGAATTTCTCTCCCTACTCGACGAAAGTGTCGTAAATTTTGAGTGTTTTTAATTGTTTTATTTTAATAATTTTCATCAATATGTTGAATGGTAACGTTTAATTTATGGGAGCGTCCGTTCTATTACTCGTTACAATTGTAAAAATTTCTTTTAGAAATACTTCCGGAAAGAAAGACCCACGCGTAACTACGACTCGAAACTGGCGCTGTTCGCCGTAGCGGCATAATTTAAAACTAAAATTTACCAGGGTTCTAGACCCATGGTTTTCAATTCGTGGTCCGCGAAACACGGGTGCTCCGTTAAGCCACTTCAAGTGTTCGCGAAAAAATAAAAATATACAATTAAAAATTGTTGCAAAGAAAAAATCAATAGATTATATAATAATTTTTGTACGGGAATGTAATCTGCAAATGCCAATAATGTCATATACTAGACCGAGTGCGCTCTTGATTTAAAAAAAGCTAGTCTTTTCGTCATCAATAGAAACATTTCTGTGAAATGTCTTTTATTCTGGAAAAATCGTGTAGTTACTTTTATAAGTGGGAATAATTTAAATATTTAAAAGTTATTCCAATTCTTTCTACCGTAATCCGATATTGAATATGTTCTTTCTTGTTAGTTGACTGATGAAGGGCTAAGTGCTCGAAACGTGTAGAAGTACCCGTATCAACTGAATAAAGATGGAAAAAAGCCAAGTGTTTAATTAATTAATAACGCAATCTTGTGTTTAACAGTCAATAAAAGATTAAATAAAGGGCCTTTACTAAACATAAATCTGTTAAGTTGTTAATGCATAATTTGTAAAGTTTATGTATCTTTGTGGTGACAAAGTTTATTGTTTGAGATTTAAAAATAGTCTCGAGTTATGATATTGTTAATATAAATATTCTCGAATTAAAAAAAAAAAAATTAGTTCTCGGCTTATTGAAATCCAATATCAAATTAGTGGACTGATGGCCGAGCGGTCAGAGTAGCAGCCTACCGCTGAAAGAGACCAGAGATCGAATCCGAACGGGTCAAATGATCCCCGTGGTCCGTTCGAATATGTCGGGCCCGTCCCTCACCATCCGGCCGCCCCATTGTTGGCCTGGCCGAACCCATAGTGGGCTTGCAAAAAGTCCCTCTTAGTGCCCACAGGGCGGAAAGAGATAACTTGTTTTCTGCTAGGTAGATTTCCTGGTGTGTACCGTAAACGTTTCTTTTGTTTTTTACTAAAGGAAATGTGTGTACTGTTTGAGTAAAATATTGGGAGTCGTTGAATGTGGCTCGTTGGTCTAGAGCAGGGGTCGGCAACCTGCGGCTCGCGAGCCACATGCGGCTCTTTGGATGTGAAGCTGCGGCTCTTTAGTTCCATACGCAAATATTTATTTTATCAAAAGAAAAAAAAAAAACATTTAAAAATCGTTCTGAATCGATTAACGAGGATTAGGCACCGATTCTATCTCTCGGCCACTGTACTCGCTTTTCACCGCACCCCTCCCCCGTGACACGCGTCGTCACTGTCGTCAGTCCGTCGGAAGCTCTCGAATGACGCCGTCGTCGGATGTTTGTATTATCTAATTTGTTATGAAAAACACTACTTATATATGAATAAATAGATAAATTTTTTTATAAAGAAACTTTATTTATGCGAGTACTATATATTGTTGGCAAGAAAAAAATTTGTGGCTCTTTAAAAACTTTGAAATTTTGTAAATTGTAATTTTGGCTCTTCCGACTCAAAAGGTCGCCGACCCCTGGTCTAGAGTTATGATTTTCGCTTAGGGTACGAGAGGTCCTGGGTTCAATTCTCGGACGAGCCCTTAGTTTTTTTTGATATCTGCAATGCTGAAGAGTTTATGGGCAGATGAATCCAATATTAAGAAAAAAGAAAAAAGGACAAAGTAGCAAAAGTGATTAATAGGAAGAAAAGATAGTCAACATGTAGTATGGAGTCAACTTCGGTAGGGAAGAAACGTCAAAAAAAAGAAAAATGATCAATAATGTAAGTAATAATTATGGTAATTTATTAGAATAGGTTAAGTTAGAACGTGCGTCTTCACTGTTTGCTTTATTAGTTAATACGCAGTCTCAAATCGCGTTCAAAATAGCGCCATTTTGGCACCATAAGTAAATTTAACCCGGTTTCAAATCTAGTGAAAATTCAAAGAAGAAACAGCAAAATTTGATAAATTCCAAAAGACTATAAATTTATTCTCATATTTACATATTATTTTATTGTACAAAAACGCGTGGGAAGAAATTTTGTGTGTAATTTTAGACATTTAATTCGGCTTGGGCATCTAACAGTCGTTGAAATGGTTTCAAAGCAGGCTTCACTTCCTCTTCCAAGAACTCTTTAACCTAAAAATTTATTTAAAATTTTACTTCAAAACGGTGCGAATTAAATTATATATATTTTTGAAATTACTTGATTTGTAGCTCTTCCGATGAACGTTTTTGGGTCGAGAAGGTTTTTCAGGTCATTATGAAATCGGTGCATTATGAAGTTTTATAAATTGCAAGTATATTAATAGCAACTGGCGTATTTTAAAATTTACTTCATTAAATTTAAACTTTAAATGATAACCCATCGTGTCAATTCTATAACAAATTTTAATTAGAAAACTTTCCATAGTGACCAGGCGACGTAAGGGGCGTAGCCACGGTGGGACAGGATGGAGCGCTTGCCCCACCCTGGCTCATTTAGTCAAACGGAAAATTATAGGTCAATAGGTTATAGTAGTATTGCGCTGCAAGAAAGCGTGCTTGAATCGTATCGGGAAGAGTTGGTCGGTGACAGGAGCGCTCTCTGGTGAACGAGTGGGGAACTGTCGATAGAAGGTCTGGATGGTCTGTGATAAGATTCGAAGATTATAGAATGTTCGAGGTTCGGATTTAATGGGGAAGTTCTAGCCCTTTCTGTTCCCCATTTAAGCGCTGCAATCAGTGAGAGTGAGTTGATGCATTTGAGCTTGTTCAGAACATACCGCGAGCGACGTTTATTTGAAACGTCGTTGCATCCATGTGCAATACTGGATTTCTTACGTCATTTTAAATTAATAAGTGCTGTATTTACTTCTGTTGTAAGCTGAACTTTGGTACAATCGATGGAAAGGAAAAAAATGTGCTCAATGCCGAACTGAAGGAGATAGAACTAGCTGCACTAGTTAAAGAAGCGCAATTGTTTTATCCATCCATAAGATGGGCGCTACTTATCTTACTTGCACAGTCCTACACAATGTGCACTATCGAAAGATACGCAGCACCTAACGCAGGGTAAAAACTTGCATACGGTCAACAATGACAGAAAATCATCTTGTTGGTCTTTGTACGATAGGTGTGCATAAAAAAAGGGTTATGGAAGCTAAAAATAAATTTGAGAAAGAAATTTTGACAAGATTTATCTAGAACTCCCGTAGGCTAGTGCTGAAATAAAATTTTATTAGCATTGCAACTAATTTTAGCGTTTTCAAATGTTCAAATAAAACCATTTTTTAATAAACAACGTTATCTTATTTGCCCCCTGGAGAAAATCCTGACTACGCCCTCGGGTGACATTTTATATCCAATCGGAAGTAACAATCTAACTAGTCCGTTATTTAGAAACTGTTATCGCTCATGCAATTAAAGTACGTACAGTTCATCTTTGTTTTATCAACATAAAATAAAAGAGATGCCTATTTTCTCGAAAAAAATGCCCAGGGGAAAGTGGAAGAGTGAAATTTTTTTTATTATTAATTTATTCATAACGCAAATTTAAATAAAAGTATTCTTCTTAACCAAATATCTTACTCGGCTCTTTAAATATTTAATAAAGCCTCCAACACCTGATGCCGAGAAACGTTTTATTAAAGTTTAACGTTTTCGACCCAGATGCAACGAATTTCTAGCGTCTTAAGATTTGTTGTAATTTGTCTTTTCATGATGACTAGGTGTTTTCTTTTGTCAGCTNATTTATGCAAATTAAACTGTTTTGTAACGATCACACTAACAGCATATTGAAAGCATTCTGTGGGTGACCGTCGTGTCGCGGAATTGCTGGTCGTAGCTGCCTCGGGTTCGATACTACAAACTATAGGAATTTCGGATTTTCGTAGTTTAATAAAACAGGAGGCATACCGTAAACGTTTGTAAATGAAACGGTTTCCATACGCGCTGTACAATTATGCCCGATTTTAAATCAACTTTAGGCTACTATCCTGTACAGAAGTTATAATATTGTGTAACTGTAACTTACAGATACCGTTTAAACATTGTAAATAAAAATGAGTTTATTAAAAGATTGCGGCCCGAAATCTACTGCAAACCAAAACGACAATATTACCGCGGCTCTCCTTCTACTGCTTAGTATCCAACGACGATGTACAAATTATATTTAATTCTAAGCCCACGTCCTTATTTGACATTTGATGTACTTTTAGTAAATATAAACATGTACAACAGGCTATCACTTGATTCTGATGCTAGCTGAAGTATGTTCTTTTACACGTAACGAACGCATTTAACCGCTCAGTGTGCCTTTTTAATTAATACAAGGTATGTTTACCGAGAATTTTTAAAGCAATGTACCGGAAGCTAAAGGTTATAGAAAAGAAATGTTTGCTTGATATAATGTATTGTATTAACTGCGAGAAGTGATCAATTTGATTAGACGAAAGAAAAAGAGATAGGTCGAAGAATAAAAGAAAAAGAATAGTGACAGCAGCAGCCGGTATTCCCAGGTACTGAGCGCGCCCGATGCTCAGCTCATCGGTATTAGTAGTTCGATTGTTTGACAACAAATTTGACTAAGCTTTTAAAATTTGATTTAATATTTGAATTTTTTTGATTCATTATGAATCGTGTGCATTTTTTCTTTTTTCGTCATCCGTCATAACTGTTAGAAACATCCTTATTAATTATAAATTTATCTAAAATTGCGTAACTTCAATAAATATCGAATCTTTAAACAGTAAGTATTAAATTCAATAAGTTTTATTAAGTATAAGAATTTATATACAATAATAAAAATTGCATGTACAATTTTAACTGTTGAAGTAATTTATAGTTTTGCTTTAGACATATATTCACTGCAATGTTAAAGTTCAACGTGGAAATGGTTGCTCCCATTGTTCTGTGTTGAAATGTTTTACTAGTAGAACGTCGCTAGAAATATTATAAGTTGTTTTGGCCAGTTATAGTCGTTTAAACACCGCTTGTGTAGCTTTGCCACAGTAGATGTTCTATGCACTTTGGCCGAAGTGGAAGAACGAATCTCGAATGTTGTCCAAGTATCCGTCCGTAAATTATGATGGAAAGTCAAGTCCGGTTGATTAAGTCGTAGCCGGGTGAAAAGTCAATTCCGGGTAAAAGTGTCATAGTCGGGAAAAGGTCACTTCCGGGTGGCTGTGTCACATTCGGTGGAAAGTGCAAAAAGGCTCGGCAGAAAGAGTGTTACTTTTAGCAGCAGAAAAAGAACCTTTTCCACCAAGGCCTTTTGCGCTTGACCAAGGCTTCTTCGGACTCCTTTGGGTCCTGTGCCGTCTCCACCGTCCATCCCTCAACTTCTGGATATCGCCTCTCCAGATAATGGACGAGAGACGAGGCGCTGTCGTCCGGGGTCACGACGACCACCCGTTTGACGTCGGGTGTATGCGCCTCGTCCTCCGCATCCTTCGGACGCACTCGTATTAGACCATGCCAAGACGAGGCGTCATCGTCGGGCTCAGATCGGTCCTGGCCCGAAACGTTCCACTTCTTTAGTTCTTTGAAGTTCTCCATTCTGCAAAGAAAAAACAGAACTTGCATTAATTAAGAAATATTCCTATTGTCTTAATTTCATCTATTGATAAATTGTAAGTAAGAAATATATAGATATTTCATGTTCAAATGCAGTGAAGATTTATGATAGAAGATTGTAGAAAATGGTCGTTTTAATTCAAATAAAAGTTTCAAAGTCACAAATCAATATTATGATAAAATCTTTAATTATCAAATATAGTAATTTTAATCTCTGCAACGGTTTTTAATGTTCGATATATAATTTAAAAAATCGAATTACATAATTCTGCCATAACACAAAGTATTTGTGAAAATGGAGAAATTCTAATTAATTAAAGCGGCGCGAATTGCATATGGGATATAAACCATAGCAAAGAATTGCAATTTATTGTATTTATTAATTCCCATTTCGCTTTAACAATTACAAATCCTTAACAATTCGATTGGAAAATTAACAATAAAAAGGGTGAAAAGTATCTCCCAAAATGAACGGGAAGACCCCATTCGTCGTCTCTGTGACCAAAACGATCAATTGTTATCTAAATGGAGCTTTGTGGGAAAAATCATTGCCACTAATTGCGACATTCGGCTTAACAATGTTCAAAAATACCTAGATTTAGAAAGTTCGTGGTCTGAACTTACCGATAAAATGGCTGCAATTGATGCAAAACTCAGAAAACGCTTGAAATAAATCAATTTTAATCGCACGAACAGAAAAATCAAACCGCTCGCAAAGATAATAATCGACCGCTCGCAACAAATTGTCGCAGTTTTATTGTTGCGTCGCCACGAAATTTAGTGTAAAACGTTTGGATTTTTCAGCGAATTTCGTGATTCTTGCGCCTTCCTGTCGCGGAAAAGAGATTTTCGCCGATCATTCCTTGCATATACATTCGTGTTGACAGTAATATGCATTGACAAATCTAATATTCTCGTGTCTGCGAATAAGAGTTTCGATTTTATCAAGATCCTCCGAACCTAAAATAGAATAGACTCGAAATACAGTAACTCCCGTTTTTTAACTACCGATCTATGAATAAAATTGATCTTTTGTTAAATTAAAGTGTCCAAAATTTTACAGATAAAAGCTTACTCGTGATAAGGACTATATGTTCTGAAATATACGGAAGAGAATGAGATCTATCGAGTGACTAAACATTTCTTATCAGATGGATTTATTCGTCCATTTAAAACGAATTAGAAACTTCATTCTAGTCACGTATTAGAAAAAAGAGAGACTTCTAACTCATGTTGTCCCCTGCTGCTGACACATCTCGTTGAAACACCTATAACAGCTTACTGCTGTTACTGATAAATTTTAAAATAAAATAATTACCTATTACAATGATATATAGGTCCGTTATATGAAATATTTCATTTTCGTAAAAAAAAAAATAAGAAAAATGAGAATATCGTAGTCTTAATTGCGGAAGAACGATCGACATAAAAAATGTCCAATTAAAGCATAATTTGTTTGTCCATTTGAAAGACGTTTTATATGTGGATACCTGAAATTTCAGCTTAATTGATTTCTTCCAACTTATAAAACGAAGGTATTAAAAACCATGTTTGCAACATTAAATATATTTTAATATAAAAATCCTTAATTAATATTTTAATAATAAATTGAATAATTTACATATTAGTCGAAATGCGCAATAATATAGAATAAAAAGTGAACATTTCATGTCTATTGTATTTGTAGGTGGTAGGATGCAAAAGTTGGATAGTTGCTTGCTTTGAATAGTTTAAAACTATCATCTTTAAAGCAATCCTCTTGGTCGACGACCGGCGGTGGTACAGCTTTATTGTACAGTACCTGTACCTGTTTTTACCTCATTTGATAACTGAGATTGTTTCCATATCTTTGAGTCATCGTGTGGTTCCTATTTTGCATTTTTTCACATCATTAATTAAGAGAATATGTAAAATTACACGTCACATTTTTTACCATTTGACGGCACACCGGTTGCGGGACACTGCTCTAACCAGTTTAAATTACAGTTTATGCGTGTACCGTATTTTGAGTCTTGAGATCCTTATTTTCGGATCGGTTTATATGCCTGTAAATTTACCGAAAACGTTTGTTCCGTGATTAAAGTTATTGTCGGAAAAATAGAAATGGTGTGTGTGTGTGTGTTCTTTTTAATTTTATCGACAAATCTTAGGTTAATTATAAAAAAATAATTTTTTTAAAGTTGGCTACTTTTGGGCTAATTTTTAGAAAATTTCTAGGAACAAAACTTACAAGCATCTGGCAACATTGTCACATGCAGAAGTACGGAGACGACGTGAGGATATTCGAAGGTCGCCGTTTTTTTTTTTTATAGTTTGCGTAAGTTTTAAAAGATCCAAGGAAGATCGAGCGGTCTACCTTCGAATAGATAAACCTAGTGGCCACGGATAAACCGACATTTCGCAACGTCGCCAGGTCGAGATGCCGGATTCGCGCGGTCGACTACCGACCAACTTCCGCGCTTGGTGTTAAAAACACGTAATAATTTCGTGTTTACATACGCGCCAGACATCGTCGATAGTGGACGTGAGTCTGCACACCCGAAAAATCAGGATATTTTTCTGGATAATTACAGAATTCGCTTTCTGAGTCGGTTGGCGTACGTCTTAAATGACGTTCGGACGGAAGGAAAAAGTTTCTGTGAAGGAAACGACATTCCCGTTGCGTTTTGTGGATGAAGTGGACGACGACGAGAGATGTTCGTAATATTTAATGAAATTGGTGCTCATCTAATAAAAGGAAAAATTATCTCCGGTCACTCCTCACTTTACTAACAAGTAAGTGCAAGTTAAGAGTCTGTTGTTTTTGGTAAGAACGTGGTGTCGACTGTTGGGCACCGTGAAATTTGTAGAAACTCACCGAATGCTCGTGGAGTTCCGTGGTTAGTATTTACAGAAGTATTGGGTGCTTGGTATCCGGTGAAGAAATGTGGGGTGTTCTTGTGCAGCGGAAAAGGTTCGGGTATAGTTTTGAAGGAGGTGGAGTTTTATGTGGCCTCTTCGACGGTGGATGCTGGAAATGTCTCTCGGAGATCCAGATGGCCAATTCTGTGGGAGGTCGGCGGAGGAGTCTTTTGGAAATGACGATCAGGAAGACTGGAATATCTGTTGGCGGGCAGCAGAGATGCCAGTGATGCATGCAATGTAGTATGTGCGACTTTGGTGTCGTGAATCTCTCGCAGCGTGCCGAATTTTTGGACGCCCCGTAGAATGAATTGTGGGAATTACATCTGGTGGCGGTTAACACGAGCAAAGGACGTAATAATTTAATGCGTTTTGTATATGCTAGATCCACACTATGAGTGTTGCAGCTTGACATCGAGGCACGTAAAAAAAAAAGGCCAAAACTATGCCTGGGGAAGAGCATTTGCGAATTGGAATGATGCACTACAATGGTTATTGTGTGTGGGAGTGTTTTGGGCAAAAGGCGAGTTTGGGATGCTCCTAAGACTGTCTATTTAAGAATCCAGAAGAACTTTGAAGATGAATGTTTAAAAAGTTCTTATGATTCTTTTATTGAGTTGGAAGAAATTCTTTGGTCTGTCGGTGAAGCTTCTGTGCCAAGGCAGAGAGTTTGTGATCCATGATGTCGAGGGAGACCGTCAAACTTATTGAAATGGAAGATGGGCACTCGTGGTTTGACGAGTGGAAGAGAAGTTGGCAGTGATGGGGTGAGTGGGTCGAAGGGAGTGCAGCATGTTGGATAGAGACTGTTTGAAAGGAATCGAGAGGCGCTGAGATGCAGTTTATATGGAATCTGTTCCTCGATTGGTCTCGGTCTCTCATTCTAACTTTTTGATTGGTCTCTTACTCGTTTCTGGGGGTAATTTTGACCGATTTGGGAGGAAAGATTGGCATCGATGTTTCGTTCCAAACTGAATTCTGAACCAACCCCAACCCGAGATGTCTGCATTTAGAATTTGTGATTTAAATCAGTTCCTTTGTCACGTAAATTTATAATGAAGGTATTTTGTCCGTTTACAAACCTGACAATAAAACCTCTGACAGCATATTATTTTAATCAATCTCTAGCTTATTTTTCAATAATATCAAACACATTTTGTACACTTATAACTATTTTATATTAGTAAACTATTATTATGTTGTTATTTTATTTATTATTATGTTGATAATACATAAAGAAGTTATAGAGCAGTTGAAAAAAGCATGTGTAACAAAAAATAAGCTCGGACAGAGCCATTTCTGACCAATAATACTATTTTCTCCAACTCAGACTTCAAACTACATCAAACAACCTGCTTCCACTTGTTGTGTCTAGCCTAGCAGTGGTGCTCTTTGGCTCACTTCAATTGGTTTTTTGTGATTTTGTGAAAGTGGTTTTGCCTTTGTCTAAGAAAACGTGATACATATCACAATTGTTATGTAAAAATATTTTTTTTTGTATTTGATAGAAGCTATATCCAGGTTTGTGCGGATGGATACGACAAATTTCATTTGTAACTTCCTTTCCAGTGATGTTATTACCAGTAACTTTATTCCATTCATTCACTAATTTGCTGAGTGATGACCCTCAATTTTTTAAAATTATTTTACAAAGGGGCTTGTGATTAGTCTTTTTATAGTTGCTGGTCTTCCAGTTGATTTTTCTGGATGAATTTTACCAGTTTCCTGATATTTTGAAACAATATCCCATACTGTGGAATTAATAATTTTTAAATTTTTTTGCAATATTTTTTAAGAATTTTCCCTGTCTATAGATGATGATAATTACTTCACATACATCAACACTTACAGCCTTACCAGGTGCCATTTTCATTAAACAAATACACCTCAATGTTAATATGGAAAAATATGCAAATATCACATGTCAGCTCATTTACATTATTTAGGAACAGGTCATTTAATGTATTTTTCAAGGTATTATTTGCCAGAAATGACTCTATTCAAGCTTTTTTTTTCTTGCACATGATTTTTTCAACTGCTCATAACTTTTTTATGTATTATCAACATGAAAATTTTTAATGTAAAATCTTCAGTTATAATAAAAGTTTACTAACATAAAATAATTATAAGTGTACAAAATGTTTTTGTTTGATATTATTGAAGGATGAGCTAGAGATTGATTAAAATAATGTCTGGGGTGGTTTCTTTTTTGTTGTGGTTGTATAGTCATTTTCACAATAAACCAAACGATTGCTGTAATGAATTGGGCTTCTTTACTGCTGCTATTAATAATTAAATACTGAATAATTTTGTATTAGAGATAGGTATTAGACACCATCTCTTATTAAATNCTTTTCACCGCACCCCTCCCCCGTGACACGCGTCGTCACTGTCGTCAGTCCGTCGGAAGCTCTCGAATGACGCCGTCGTCGGATGTTTGTATTATCTAATTTGTTATGAAAAACACTACTTATATATGAATAAATAGATAAATTTTTTTATAAAGAAACTTTATTTATGCGAGTACTATATATTGTTGGCAAGAAAAAAATTTGTGGCTCTTTAAAAACTTTGAAATTTTGTAAATTGTAATTTTGGCTCTTCCGACTCAAAAGGTCGCCGACCCCTGGTCTAGAGTTATGATTTTCGCTTAGGGTACGAGAGGTCCTGGGTTCAATTCTCGGACGAGCCCTTAGTTTTTTTTGATATCTGCAATGCTGAAGAGTTTATGGGCAGATGAATCCAATATTAAGAAAAAAGAAAAAAGGACAAAGTAGCAAAAGTGATTAATAGGAAGAAAAGATAGTCAACATGTAGTATGGAGTCAACTTCGGTAGGGAAGAAACGTCAAAAAAAAGAAAAATGATCAATAATGTAAGTAATAATTATGGTAATTTATTAGAATAGGTTAAGTTAGAACGTGCGTCTTCACTGTTTGCTTTATTAGTTAATACGCAGTCTCAAATCGCGTTCAAAATAGCGCCATTTTGGCACCATAAGTAAATTTAACCCGGTTTCAAATCTAGTGAAAATTCAAAGAAGAAACAGCAAAATTTGATAAATTCCAAAAGACTATAAATTTATTCTCATATTTACATATTATTTTATTGTACAAAAACGCGTGGGAAGAAATTTTGTGTGTAATTTTAGACATTTAATTCGGCTTGGGCATCTAACAGTCGTTGAAATGGTTTCAAAGCAGGCTTCACTTCCTCTTCCAAGAACTCTTTAACCTAAAAATTTATTTAAAATTTTACTTCAAAACGGTGCGAATTAAATTATATATATTTTTGAAATTACTTGATTTGTAGCTCTTCCGATGAACGTTTTTGGGTCGAGAAGGTTTTTCAGGTCATTATGAAATCGGTGCATTATGAAGTTTTATAAGTTGCAAGTATATTAATAGCAACTGGCGTATTTTAAAATTTACTTCATTAAATTTAAACTTTAAATGATAACCCATCGTGTCAATTCTATAACAAATTTTAATTAAAAAACTTTCCATAGTGACCAGGCGACATAAGGGGCGTAGCCACGGTGGGACAGGATAGAGCGCTTGCCCCACCCTGGCTCATTTAGTCAAACGGAAAATTATAGGTCAATAGGTTATAGTAGTATTGCGCTGCAAGAAAGCGTGCTTGAATCGTATCGGGAAGAGTTGGTCGGTGACAGGAGCGCTCTCTGGTGAACGAGTGGGGAACTGTCGATAGAAGGTCTGGATGGTCTGTGATAAGATTCGAAGATTATAGAATGTTCGAGGTTCGGATTTAATGGGGAAGTTCTAGCCCTTTCTGTTCCCCATTTAAGCGCTGCAATCAGTGAGAGTGAGTTGATGCATTTGAGCTTGTTCAGAACATACCGCGAGCGACGTTTATTTGAAACGTCGTTGCATCCATGTGCAATACTGGATTTCTTACGTCATTTTAAATTAATAAGTGCTGTATTTACTTCTGTTGTAAGCTGAACTTTGGTACAATCGATGGAAAGGAAAAAAATGTGCTCAATGCCGAACTGAAGGAGATAGAACTAGCTGCACTAGTTAAAGAAGCGCAATTGTTTTATCCATCCATAAGATGGGCGCTACTTATCTTACTTGCACAGTCCTACACAATGTGCACTATCGAAAGATACGCAGCACCTAACGCAGGGTAAAAACTTGCATACGGTCAACAATGACAGAAAATCATCTTGTTGGTCTTTGTACGATAGGTGTGCATAAAAAAAGGGTTATGGAAGCTAAAAATAAATTTGAGAAAGAAATTTTGACAAGATTTATCTAGAACTCCCGTAGGCTAGTGCTGAAATAAAATTTTATTAGCATTGCAACTAATTTTAGCGTTTTCAAATGTTCAAATAAAACCATTTTTTAATAAACAACGTTATCTTATTTGCCCCCTGGAGAAAATCCTGACTACGCCCTCGGGTGACATTTTATATCCAATCGGAAGTAACAATCTAACTAGTCCGTTATTTAGAAACTGTTATCGCTCATGCAATTAAAGTACGTACAGTTCATCTTTGTTTTATCAACATAAAATAAAAGAGATGCCTATTTTCTCGAAAAAAATGCCCAGGGGAAAGTGGAAGAGTGAAATTTTTTTTATTATTAATTTATTCATAACGCAAATTTAAATAAAAGTATTCTTTTTAACCAAATATCTTACTCGGCTCTTTAAATATTTAATAAAGCCTCCAACACCTGATGCCGAGAAACGTTTTATTAAAGTTTAACGTTTTCGACCCAGATGCAACGAATTTCTAGCGTCTTAAGATTTGTTGTAATTTGTCTTTTCATGATGACTAGGTGTTTTCTTTTGTCAGCTTGTGTTAGGACCAAGTCATTGTTATTTACAATTGTTTTGCGTGCTTCAGCT